AGCAGAATGAACCACCATCTTATCCAGCATATATTTTATGCAGCGGATGCTCTTCCAGGTGCAGCCCATCTCTTGGAAACATCCATACACACTCGTTCACACTCATACACTACTGACAATTTCGCCTACCCAATTCAGCTGTACCGCATGTCTTTGGACAGTGGTGGAAACCCACGCGAATGCAGGGAGAACATCCAAATTTCACACAGAAACGCCAACTGACACAGCCGAGGCTCGAACTAGTGAACTTCTTGCTGTGAGGTGACAGCACTACCTACTGCGCTATCGCGTCATGTAAAAATATCAATTGCAAACTGAAATAAATAAATGGTTTGGAATTGAATGTTTTACGAGATTATTTAAATTTTTTGTGATTTTTTTTTTTTTTTTTTTTTTTGCATTTAATTAAGATTTAATTTTGCAGAATCGCCCAAATTTGCAACCTTTTGTTGATTTTGCGTTAGATTCAGCGATTGCGGAGTCGCGAAAAACCAGGGGGTGTGATCAATATTTTTTAATGTTATTTAATATAGAAATCCACTATTTAGGTCACTTTTTGTAAACGCATGCCTCTGAAACTTTTGAATTCATAATGAATCCTCTTCTTTGTTTTATTTTTATGCAATAAAAGATTTTATTTTTTGTGTATTTCTGGAAATCTTTGCTTAAAGTGCAAAATGCTTTTAAGTTGAAGTCGTTTGTGACATAATAATTAATGGTGCCTTAATATGTTTTAGTAAGTTGTGCTCTTTCACATGGGCCCGTTTTACCCAAGTAATGTGTGCTGCAGAAGTGGTATCAGCAGTAAAGTGAACGCTGGCCAGCAGTGTGACAGGAAATGAGGAGTGGGTGGATTGGGAAATGTCATGAGCTGCGTTTAATGTCACATTACACACACACACACAAACCACGGGTGCCACCGTGTGAGTTACATCTCTGATCAGCGACGCGTCACCACGAGTGATGATTACCAAGAAAATGTACAGTGATAAACATCTGTCATATGCATATTTTAGATAAAGCATGTTTGTTCATTGTGAAAGTGTTGGTTTGTTGGTGCTCAGACAAAGGAAATAGTCACATTATATTTTAAGTTACATTAACTTGTATGTATGTTAGGGTTAGGCACATATGTTAGGGTTATTTGCTATATAAAATAAATGCCATAATAATTTGTGGTTCATTCCGCTGTGGTGACAATGAGTGTGTTATACATTATAAATGTATTATACCAAATGAATGCATGTACATACATATTAGTTATTCATTCGTTCATTCATTTTCCTTCCGGCTTAGTTTCTTTATTAATTAGGGGTTGCCACCGCGGAATGAACCACCAACTTATCCAGCATATGTTTTATGCAGCGGAACACCTTCCAGCTACCTATTAGTGGGAAACGTCCATACACACTTATTCACACACATACACTACGTACAATTTAGCCTACCCAATTTACCTACAGCGCATGTCTTTGAGCTGTGGGGGAAACTGGAGCAACCGGAGGAAACCTACGCGAACACTGGGAGAACATAGTAGTTAATATGACTTAAAGTGTAATGGTAAATTCTATCAAAGTAAAAATTCTGCACTAAAAAGTAAAAAAAACATGTGCAGTTTATAATAAAATGCATGGATGATGGACTTGTTCGAGCGATAAACAGAAGTGTGTAATGTTGGACACTTCAGGCACTCTAAAGATGCAGTGTTTTTTGCTTTAGTTGGCCAAATTACTATTAAGGAGATGATGATGTCGCCTCCTGGTGGTGAATGTGGTTGTATGCATGTTTGTCAATATGTAGTTTATTTATTTGACAATCACTAACTGAGTTTTTCCAGGTATTATTTGGACAAGAAGTCAGCAGAGCCATGCGATACGCAAACATGTTTAACAGTACTCGAGTTGGGATTTAATTAATAGTCTCCTAATCATAATCGTAGCTGCGCATGCTTCAAATTAAAATACAAAGTTGTTTTTAACACACATATTATGGAGAATTATTGCTTCGCAGCATCATCCATTGATATTAAAAACCTTGAAATGGAGACCTTCTCTTACTCATGAAAACAAGTTCCACACAATCATACGATTATCACAAGGAGAGGATGAAAATAATAATAAAAGCACAAATTATAGAGAAATTGTAATAATAAAGTGCTATTCAGTGGAGAAATTATTCCGATAATTAATAAATAAATCATAAAAAAATATCAAATTGTTATTGATTATATGACAGATCGAAGTTTATTGAAAGAAGAATTAAACAAATTAACGCACCACAAAAATGAATGGTGGTTTTTCTTGAAGCAACACACGCACAGAGAGAGAGAGAGAGTGGTTGCTAGATTGTGAAGCCCCAGAATTAATGCACACACCTTTTCACTTAAGGATATGTCTGATACTTCCCTGCTTGTTTGTAATTAAAGGGACCCTGATTGATTTGAATGGATAATAAGCAGTATGTGGCATTTAACGTAAACTCTCACCGCTTTTGTCTTTAAAAGTAAAGACTAAGCCTGGGATTTAATAAAGAGGGTAAATCTATTAAAGTGCCAATGGGAGTGAAGTTCTGTGGGTAATGCAACTGACAATGCAGAACACTGACACAGCAGTTTAGTCCCATAATATGCAACGTGCTCATGAAACAGCACAAATTAAACCACAGACAAGAGCTGATAGCGAAACTAAAACAGTATGCATTAATACATGCTTTTGTGTATGAAAATTACGGCTATTATTAAACCTTTGCAAAGCATGTTGCATTGTCAGTGGCAATAAACAGGAGTGGATTACAGTGACTAGAAAAAGTTTGTGAACCCTTTGATACATTTCACTGAAAGTCACAACAATTGAAAAACAGTACTAATACCACACAAATATGTTTTTCTTTTTAACACATATTTCACAGTGCAAGGTGGAAAAAGTATGCAAACCTTTGGGTTTAATAACTCCTTGACCCTCCTTTGGCAGCAATAACTTTAACCAAACATGTCCTGTAGTTGTAGATCAGACCAGCACAACAATTAAGAGGGATTTTAGACCATCGCTCTTTAGTTCAGCAGTATTTTTGGGATGCCTGGTGTGAATCGCTCTCTTGAGGTCATGCCACAGTATCTCAATCGGGTTGTGGTCGGGACTCTGTGCCACTCCAGAAGGTGTATTTTCTTCTGTTGAAGCCATTCTGTTGTTGATTTACTTCTATGCTTTGGGTTGTTGTCCTGTTGCCTCACCCATCCTCTGTTGAGCTTTGGTTGGTGGACATGTTCCTAAGTTTTCCTGCAAAATGTCTTGATAGACTTAGGAACTCATTTTTTCGTTGATAACAGCAATCCGTCCAGGCCCTGAGGCAGCAAAGCAGCCCCATATCATGATGGCTTCTCCGCCATATTTCAAGTTGAGACGAGTTTTCAAGCATAAAACCAAAACAATTCAGAATTTTAAAAGTGTTTTAGTTAAATATTTCAGTGTACACAGCATTGTGGTAGTAAGATTTCTTGATTCTCTCAATTTTGAGAGCAAATATGAATGATTTGTTTGTGGCATTATGCCACAGTATCTCAGTCGGGTTGTGGTCGGGACTCTGTCTGTGCCATTCCAGAAGTGTATTTTCTTCTGTTGAAGCCATTCTGTTGTTGATTTACTTTTATGCTTTGGGTTGTTGTCCTGTTGCATCACACATCCTCTGTTGATCTTCAGTTGACAGACAGAGGGTCCTCAGTTTTCCTGCAAAATGTCTTTATTAACGGTATCAATTTTAAATCGGAATCAATTGAAATTCATGCTCACTTTCGATTATCGAATCAAAAAATGGAATCGTCGATGCTGCCACGCCCCCATGTCACGTCAGCTTGGCTTGCCAAATGGAAAAAAGACAGGCTTGTTGAAGAGCTTTTTGAACTGCAGACGCAGGAGACCCATCGACAGAGCTTAAACCCTCTGCTCTTTCAATAAAGTCGGTGTGAAAGTATTTAGGATTTTCAGTAAGTTATGTTGACAATGTTCGTGTTGTCAAAAAAAAAAAAACAGTTTGCAAGCTCTGCTATGTATTAGGGTTGGGCCGACAGACAACACCGGCATCGCAGTCCTCCGCCCCGCTCCTGTTGCAAATCCGCTCGCGAAAAATACACACTCAGGCCCTGTTTACATCAGTAGGTCTTAGTTTTTAAATGGCATTTTAGAACGACGACGATCCACATCCACACTGGCGTTTTGCATTTCTTAGCAGCCGTCCTTCCTAACTACCACTAAAAACGCACATCACGTGACCACACACACACACACACACACACACACACAGGCTGGCACACACAGAGACGCACACACATTGTCATGCGCTCGAGATAACGGGTCCAGGCAGTTAGCGGGTCAGTAGACTGCTTCAATCTTTCACTTTCACACTTGTACTTGGTAATTTTAGCGAGCACCTCGGGTACTGTTGGTTGGTTCCTGTTGGTTGTGCACCTTTTTTACCGGTTGACAGGTGGCAATTATGTGTGTAACTTATCTTTATTCATTTACTGTATGATTTGTTTATGATTTTGCTTAATTTTTCTTTTTTAAATTGAATCGAACTGTGACTTTAGAATCGAAAATTTAATCAAATCGAGGATTTGGAGGATCGGGACATCCTTAGTCTTTATAAACTTTGGAATTCATTTTTCTGTCAGTAACAGCAATCCTTTCAGGCCCTGAGGCAGCAAAGCAGCCCCAAACCATGATGGCCCCATATATTACAGTTGGGATGGGCTTTTGATGTTGGTATGCTGTACCTTTTTTCATCACACATAGCGTTGTGTGTTCTTTCCAAATAAAAATCTATTTTGGTTTCATCTGTCCACAGAATACTTTGCCAGTATTGCTGTGCAACATAAAGTCACTTTTTTATACATTTCAAATGTGCTCCAATGAATTTTTTGACCATGACTGTATTTAAGGTGGACTAAAAACACAAATAAGCAAACTATACAGACTTTCATTTTCCTCTCTTTTTCTCCATCTCAGGTGAAGAGATACCAGTGTCTGTTCGAAGGCTGTACGCGCACCTACAGCACGGCGGGAAACCTGCGCACTCATCAGAAGACGCACCGTGGCGAATACACGTTTGTTTGCAACCAGCAAGGCTGCGGCAAAGCCTTCCTCACATCCTACAGCCTGAAGATCCACGTCCGCGTCCACACAAAGGAAAAACCCTTCGAGTGTGACGTCCAGGGCTGTGAGAAAGCCTTCAACACTCTCTACAGGTGAATATGAGCATGATATTTTACACCGACGTGGTTTGTGAGCTGCTTCTGTCCTGTGGGTTTTGTTTAATGTGTGGCTCTCACAGAAGCTCATCCTCATGTGACTGATAGCCTGAAGCTGCTAGCATCTGTTTGCTAATACAGTGTTCTTTATGAACCTACATGCAGATTTGCGTTTGTGTGCTGTTTAATCGGTCATCAAAGAGTCATGAGTCACTTTGTATTTATTATGTTGGCTTGAGAAAGCCAACGTGCTGTAATCCCATCTAATCATTATTATTTTTATTTATTCTTTTATTACTTTTATCATTATTTTTATTCTTCTTCTTTCTTCTGGGAACAAACGTATCTCCTCCTAGGGCTTTAGGAGGCCTCAAATTTGGCCTACAGATGTGTTCTACATTGTTGTTTGTTGCTTTATATTTTCCAACGAGTCAAACTTTCGGTTTTCCAAATACTGACCCAGAAAGCTTGGGAAAATCCTATTGACTTAACATGGGACCAAGTTTTGACCCATCATTACTCTGAACAAGATATTCTTAGAAACAATTGATCTTAAACAATTGAAGAGGTTGTCAAGCTGTGTAAAACTACCTATTAACCTGGGGTGTAACCGTACGTTCACACCGAAAGCGCCAAGATCGTCAATGTAGCCGAAAGTCATTTATTTTCAAAGAGAGCCGGCGAAGAGCAGCGCGACGCGTCTTCACCGGTGTTGGCGTCGAGGAGAGTTGAAATCTAGTCAACTTTATGGTAATGAGCTATGACGCGGTTCCGCGGCAACCAATCAAAATGAAGAAGTCCACCGCTTGAGAGTAGTTAAGAGAATACAGCCCTGTGAACTTTGGTTCCAACCACAAATGTTCCCAAGGGTTTGATTGTTGAGGTGGCCGTTTTTTCAGTTATTTACAATGTTTTCTTGCAGGAACATGCATTAAATAAGTTATTGGCGAGTTACTGGTGTGCATTAATGTTATAGATATTTATCTTTAAAAAAAGCGGGAATCTCACGTGACCGTACAAAACAGTAATGCTGCTTCAGGATATTTCAGACATATGGACACATTGGATAATTAAGTGGAGCAAAGCCACACCACATGCTACTCGATCTTCCATTGTTAAATGAATTTGATAAGAAGTGCGCAACATTTTCATGCTAAAAAGCATGTTTCACGCAGGAATGTAACTGATATGCTGCAACGGCCCCTTTATATATGGGACCAATGTAGCGAATTTTGACGCTCTCGCCGCCAGAGCTGAAAGCAGACAGCGTTGACACCAGGGCGGCCAGATCGACCTTGGACACTCTCACCGCTTTCATTGTGAACGCACAGTTAGTAGCCCATAGCCACAAGAGCACCCCAAACTTTCCAATTGAGTTACTATGAAGAAAGTCATTTTACAAAAACATGGAAAAATCCCGTAGACTTAACATGGAATCAATTTTTATCAACACCATCCCATTCCCCCCACTGGCTCTTCACATTCACCAACACCTAGGATGTAGCTGTGTGTGAGCTAACATAGATTATGTAAGTTGCTTTGCAAAAAAAAAAAAAAAAACAACACAAACGCGAAACGCAAAATTATAATAACCCTATAATTGGAGTTATGAAACCAAAAAAACTGTATGGAGTTTTCTTTTTCATAATACAGCAGTATCACACAAAGAGAGGGCCATTTTTCTTCATTTTCACTTTTCTTTTAGTACAAACATTGTAGTTTTTAGACGCTACAGTTTTTTTGTTTTGTTTTTACCTGTATTTTTTTTTTCCAAACAAAGGAGAAGAATATTTTTTGTGTCTCAGAGCAACACTAAAATTCTGATCAAAATAGTACTTGGATTTAGATTGAACTTTATAAAATGGATTGCGTTTAAGGTTTTAAATATAAAAAAACAGTGTAGGTGTTGGCTTGCTTTAGAACTACACTTTAGTTTCTACTTTAAAGCAACTCTATAGCAGAACAGAAGAAGTAAACAAGATTTCACAGAGCCACACCTAACAATTCACAGACACATTAACAGTTAATTACAAATAACTACATAATGGACATGAAGCATTTGAAGTTTAGGTGTATACCGGCCGGGCCACTTCAGAAACCTCAAGCAAATTTAGTGTTGGCCAGATTTGCTTCCATTTGTCTTTAATTCGAGCATGTTTATGCACATGCGTACGCATGTGTCTGTGTGCACGCAAAAAAAAAAAAAAAAAATACGTTGTACGGTTGAGGATTATTGACTTTTTATTTTATGCCTAATGTCATTAAAATGTTTAAATGTGACAAACATTTAATGTCATTAAATGTTTGTCAATACTTCAATATTTATTTTCCCCCCCTAATTTATTTATAAATTATTATTATTTGTTTATTTTATTTTATTATTAACATGATTATTTATTTTTTTCTTATTCTATGTATTTATTTTTTATTTATTCACTTATTATTATATTTATTTATTTATTTATTTACTATTTTTATTTATTATTATTATTTATTTTTATTATGTTATTTGTTTATTTATTTGGAATATTATTTGTATTTATTTATTTTTATTATTTTGTTTATTCATTTTTTAAAATTGTTTTTTATTTGGTTTTACTATCATCTTTTATTTATTATAATTTTATTTATTTATTTTTATTTAATCATATCTTATTATTTTTATTTATTTTTTATTATTTACTATTATGATTATTTATTTATTACTATTATTATTTTTTAATCATTTTCTTAATTTAACAATATTCAAATAATTGTATCTCTGCTAAATATTATCCCATAACAAACCATACATCAATGGAAAGCTTATTCATTGACCTTTCATTTCTCATAAATGTCTCAAAACATTTACCCTTATGACAAGTTTTGTGGTCCAGACTTACACATATCAAGCAGAAGTGATAATCAGTCATGATGCTTGAAACAAAGGAACTTAAAGGTCTCATGAAGTGCTTTAATTTGCATTTTTATTCAATGTTTGACATAATTTTAACAAAATTAAAGAGAGGGTGGGGCATATAATAGCCCCTCCCTTGTAAAAAAAACAGCCAATAGTGTGTATTTTTATCACAGCTCTGCCAGTGAGAGTGAATGAACTTAAAGGCATCAAATGAAAAGCAAACGAGAAGCTTCTCGAAGGGGGCGGGGCATGTCAGATACTAGAGAGCATTTGATTGGTCAGAAGATTTGATCAGAAACTTAAGTATGAGGTGGTGTCAACATTTTTGATCGATTTAGGCATGTGACAAGCTGCAAGCTTTTAGATTTATATCAGTTTTATATCTTTTAAACGCAAATTTCGTCACTTGTTTAGAGCACACTAGCTTATAGAAATCCATAAAACTAACGTACTTATACTAATATATAAAAAACGTTATTTAATTTTCATGATGGGACCTTTTAAATGCGTATTTGTATGTCAGAATAATTGAATTATTAAAGCATAATGGCCCTAAATCTTACATTTCAGCAGTACCTGAAGAACTGTTCTGACTTTATGAATGATACATTATTAATTCATTCCTACTTTGAATGAAAGCATCTGCTGTTTGTGTGATTGTAAATAATCCTGTGTTTCTCTCTCATCAGACTGAAAGCACACCAGAGGCTGCACACCGGGAAGACGTTTAACTGTGAATCAGAGGGATGCACCAAGTACTTCACCACACTCAGTGACCTGAGGAAGCACATCCGCACACACACTGGCGAAAAACCCTTCCGGTGAGCCTTTCACGTTGACAGGGCTGCTATCAGAGTTTATTTAGTGAGGAAAAAGTCAGGACAGCCTATTGAAATGTATGGTTTTCTGTATTTCTATAAAAATACATTAAAAAATGTGACTGGTCTTAACATCAAATCTCAGATGAACAGCATCACATGACATCTCACACTGTGTCGATATTTATTGAACAAAAATCAAGCCAAGTTAAAAAAATCCGTGATCCAGAATCTGTACCGGCAGATTTTTGAGCCATGTCTTTCAGTCGATTTATTTCCACACTCATATGTGTGTAAATGCACAGTAATTTTATTGAATAATATGCAAATGTTTAGATAATTTATGCATTCGTTCATTTTTCTTCAGCTTAGTCCCTATATTTATCAGGGGTTACCACAGAGGAATGAACCATCAACTTATCCAGCATATGTTTTACGCAGCGGATACCCTTCCAGCTGCAACCCATCACTGGGAATCATCCATTCACACTCATTCACACACAAACACTATGGCCAGTTTATTTCATTCCCCTGTAGTGCATGTGTTTGGATTGTGAGGGAAACCGAAGCATCCGGAGGAAACCCACGCCAAGACGGGGAGAACATGAAAAAATCAGATTTTTTAATTTTATTTATTTATTTATTTTTTGGTATGTGCTGTTTTGGAAATTATTCAGTTTAATAGGGTGTCCAAATTTATTCCCGGGGCTGTATTTTCAATGTTCAACAGTGTTTAAGTGTCAGTTCACCCAAAGATGAAAATAATCTCATTTATTCTCCCTTGTGTGGTTTTAAATTTTTGAGCTTCTAACATATATAGGATATTTTGAAGAATGCTAGATGCTTGGCCCATTGACTTCCATAGTAAGAGCAAAAATGACTGTAGAAATCAGTGGATCTCAGCAACCAGCATTTAAAAAAATAATTTTGTGTTCAACGAAAGAAAGTAACTCATAGGTTTTAACTAGGGATGCACCGATATGGATTTTTTGGCCGATACCGATAACCGATAATTCTTTAGACTTGGAGGCCGATAGCCGATATGTATAGGCCGATATTTATAAATATTTAAAAATTGTATATTTATATACAGCAAACTTCATAAGAGATTGAACTGCTCTTATGAACTAATTAGTCTATACATAAAGCAAAAAAGCTTTAACTTCAAAATTGCAAGGTGATTATAGACCTATATTCACGATTTCACATAAATCAGCATGCAAAAAATACATTACTTCCTTTTCTTCATAGCAAATTAACATGCAACTTGACTGTTGCATAAAATTAATAAGGTTAAATAACAAAATGGGATTTAATCAACAAGCAAGTTAAATATATTTAAATAAGATGAAAATGAAAGAGCTAAGGACTGAAACCACCTCAAATCTATTGAATAAAACGTGTGACAGTCATGTACACATGTACAAATATTCATGTCCGAAAAAGCCTTTTTTAGAGGTGTTTTGACAGTTCAGAGACCCCGTACAAGCGAACAGCTAAATATATATAGTACGTTTAGAAAATGCGGCACAGATTCATCCTATTTGGCGTTTTAGTTTCTTTTGAACATGTAGCTGCTGCTTGTCAGATCGATAACGATAATCCTAAAAAATAGCATTTATCGGCCGATAACGATATGGCCGCCGATATATTGTGCATCCCTAGTTTTAACCAAATGAAGGGTGAGTAAATGATGACATGATTTTCATTTTTGGGTGAACTATCCCTTTAAATAAACGATCTGCTTCCTGATGCATTTGGATTCTGCCGTTCAGTAGGAACACATAATAATATTGAACATAATGCTGTGTCTGCAGGTGTGATCACGATGGCTGTGGTAAGGCTTTCGCTGCTAGTCATCACCTGAAAACACATGTACGGACACACACTGGTAAGACACTTTCAGTCTGTCAGAGGAATGATAAAACGAATGCAGTACATAAAATGTTAGATCTGTGTGATTAAAAAAATGTTGACAAGTATTGCTGTTACTCAGCTATTTAAATATACGTTTATGTAGGGCTGTGCAATTAATCGAAAATCCGATTTCGATTTTGGCTTCAAACGAATATGAAAAACCTTTAATCGAAATAAACGATCATTGCATCATATACCGCCCCCTTTCCAGCTGTACACATGTGTTGCTCTTAAAAGCGCGAAACACTGCGTGCTTAATGCTTATGTGTGTGCGCACACAGTCAGAAGCATGCGGCCCGTCAGCATTCGGTCTCATTCGACGAGCAGAGGAGCGCAGACATCTAAAGTCATCTTAATGTGAGCACTTTAATGGTCAAATAGCTGTCAAAACGCGGTGATTAGTGATTATTCATATTAACCCTCATTTGTGTAATAAACAAATGAGTTGAGAATCAAAAGACACGTAAAAGAGAAACCATTAAAGAGACAGCGCGAAATATCCTTGCTGCCGCCTGTTTTTGCATAAATCAAACAAAACGAGAAAATCCTTCAGTGTTCTTACTTGACTGAAGGACTGCTGTAGCCAAAGTGTTTTTCTTACTGTGAAGATGCTTAAAGCACAGTTTGTTTCATATTTTTATTCTATTGTATTTATTTCTCTTTCCTTTGGAGGGAGGATAATTACTATATATATATATATATATATATATATATATATATATATGTATATATATATATATATATATATATATATATATATATTATACTAGCCCTCCTGAATATTAGCAACCTTCTTCCTGCCCAATTTCTGTTTAATGGAAAGAATTTTTTTTTAAAATAATATTTTTGATATTTCATAATAGTTTTGATATCTCATTTCTAATAACTGATTTCTTTTATTTTTGCCATGATGTGAGCACATAATATTTTACTAGATGTTTTTAAAAATACAAGCATTCAGATTAAAGTGCAATTCGAATACTTAATTAGAGTAATTAGGCAAGTCACTGTATAACAGTAGTTTCTTCTGCAGAAAATCAAAAATATATTGCTTAAGGGGGCTAATAATATTGACCTTAAAATGGGTTTCAAAATATTTAAACCTGCTTTTATTCTAGCTAAAATGAAACATTATTTTACTAGCCTAAAAGAAAAAAAAATATAATAGGAAATACTGTGTAAAATTCCTTGCTCTGTTAAACATTTCCCATATTTGGGAAATATTTATTTAAAAAAAGTTCTCAGGAGCGCTAATAATTTTGACTTTAACTGATAATCGTTTTGAATAATCATGATTACAATCATGACCAAAATAATCGTGATTATGATCTTTCCCAAAATCGAGCAGCCCTACGTTTATGTAATTAATGCAATTACTTTATGTAGATCATAAATCCTGTAGCATGGTCTTAACAAAAATATTCAGCAACATGCACCATTTTTAAACTTGACTATGATATGAAATGTTTATTAGGCAGCAACTTATGTAATTATCTTTGAAAACGTTTTTTAAAATAATCAATACAGGTTTTCAAAACAATATAGATATTCAATATTCAATTGAAACCTTTTAATTTGTATATACCATCTTACCATGTCTTCCTCTGTTTAAGGAGAGAAACCGTTTTTCTGTCCCAGCGACGGCTGTGAGAAAACCTTCAGCTCTCAGTACAGTCTGAAGAGCCACATCCGGGGTCACGACAAAGGCCCATCGTTCACCGTGAGCAGTCATCCACTGTCAGAGGTGCTCACACACACACACACTCACAGCCTTGCTTTATTACTCGCTCACTTCTGGACACTTGCTGTATATTTTGTTGGTGAACTATCTCTTTAAGCGTTCTTGTTGTGTTGCAGGATGCGAATCACTCGCTGTGCCTCAGTGATTTGAGCCTCATTTCAACAGACTCTGAGCTCCAGGAGAACCACAATGTGAGTTTCGTCCTCACTCACACAGAACTGCTTTCATTCCTCTCTCAGATACCAGTTCATCTCAGCACATGTTGATGTTTCAGTCTCAGGGTTTGGATCTGAACAGCGTCACCCCCATACGAATCTTTGAGCTCATGTTCCAGAGTCCAGAGAACAGCGTCAGCGAGGACGACCCCAAACCTACAGGTAAGATCAGTCAGGGGTTACACATTAAATCGTTTCAGCATCAATATTGCAATGTGCACATTAGGGTTGGGCCGATGGCCGATAGACATCACAATGCTGAGCCGGCATCACAATCCTCCACCTTGCCCCTGTTGCAGCAGCAAAAAATACACACTTAGGCCCTGTTTACGTCTTAGTTTTAAAATGGCATTTTAGAACGAAAACAATCTACGTCCACACTGGCGTTTAACCTAGCATTTAAAGGGCCATGAAACCCCTTTGTTTCAGCAGGGTGTTTTCACACCTCTACTTTGGAAAAAGTCAAAAAAGTGGGCGTGTCCAGCTCTGTTTAGGTGGGAGTGTCGGAGGAAAAAAAGAGGCATGATGTGGGAGTGTCTATTTGGGCGCGCTGAGTTTCAGAGTCAAAATACACACACACACAGGGGACAAAGTGACTGTGTTTACATGGACATCTGTAGTCGAATTATTTGCCAAATTATTAAATGGTGGACTTTAACTGCAGTCTGGCTCTTTCATTCAGAGAATTCATTCATGTCCCTCACGACAAACGAGATATTTGATTCGAGGAACTGCTGTAAGGGTGTATTTTTTATGCAATGTTTGATACTGCACGGCGAATGAGAGAAAAAAAAACTCAGCATTTCCCGGAAACTTAGATGCACACGGCAGGTAGCGTCAGAAAGCCGCGTGTTTTATTCTGGTCACAAAATGCGGTAAAAACCCTACACGAGGTTAAAGTTTGGTTGTGGTGCTAACATGTTTACACTTTGTGCAATAGTTTGTTCGATACGAACAAACTGAATAAACAAAGAGCACTGGTCACTCACTCACCAAATCTGTAGAGACAGGACAATCACCAGCAACTAGAGCCGCGTCTTTATTAAGAGAAGACTACAAGCGAATCCGGATCTCAGCGTTTGCAGATGAGAACAGCTCTCAGGTAAACAATAATCCTCCTTAGACACGTAAGTTATTGTTGTCGAGCGTCGCGTACACTGTTAATCCACACGTGGCTCCAGCTGAGCTCTCACAGAGATAAAATGAAAACAAAACTTAACTGCAGCAAACTATGAAAGCAACACTTCACGCTTGTTTTGCCAACACAACGTGGCGTCTCTGCCGTCTAAACACTGTGACAGTAATGAATATTAATGAAGTTGCACAATAGAGCGCGCTGATTGGCTTGAACCAAGCTTTACTCATGCAATAATGCATCACACTGTAAGACGTAATAAGACACACTCTGGCACAGGCGTTCAGTCTGCACGCTGGAATACACGCTATTATCTCATCGCCGTGACGCAGCTTCAAAAATTCATTTCAAACCGGAAGTACGAATTTGCTTGAAATAACGCAAAAACAACCAATTTACACTTTTTAGTGAAATATAGGTGCCCTAATAGTGTTTTTAGCAGTGTGGGACACATATACGACTGTCAACAGCTCAAAACATGTGTTTTGGTGTTTTGTGAGCCTTTAAGAAAAGATGCACACTATACCATTGAAAACATGATTATTTTAACAGTGTGTTAGAAGATGCTAGGAATACATTTTAAGTTATAAATTATTTAAACATGTTAAACACACAACCAATGACCCTTAAGCGGGATTACTGTGGATGTGTATTAGCCAGACTGCTTTTGAACTGTCTTGTCATTATAATTATAATCTGTTTTAATGTTTAATATATATTCATTAAACTCCATTAATGTAACCATGTAGAAGAAAACGCATGTTTTACTGTAGCTTTTAGACCAAGGGCGCCGCCATCTTGAAATATTGCTGTGTCTGACACCACAGGGTTGGTTCTGTTCCCTCAGCTAAACAGATACAGTGCAAAGGACTGAACGCGGAGACTGTAAAGCGTGGAGTTGTGGATGTGGAGCTGCTGCAAATACAAGCTTCAGATGTGTGTCTAATACATGTATATATATATATATATAGAGATATATATATAGATAGATAAAGCTGAAGTCATAATTATTAGCCCCCCTTTGAATTTATTTTTCTTTTTAAAATATTTCCTAAATGATGTTTAACAGAGCAGGGAAATTTTCACAGTATGTCTGATGATATATTTTTCGTCTGGAGAAAGTCTTATTTGTTTCACTTCGACTAGAATAAAAGCAGTTATCAGACATACTGTGAAAATTTCCTTGCTCTGTTGCTCTGTTCCTTGCTCTCATCAACTGTATGTATGTGGATCCCTTTTCAACTCGATCTCTCAATATGTATGAAGGATAAAAACCTGCCATGTGAAAAACTGCGCCGATTGGTTTGAACATGAGCAGAGGTGAGCAGCTGTAGTAGTGAAAAGTAAAAGTACCCGCCCTCATTACATCAGCACCAGACCTGGTTGAAAGCATGGTTGAAACCCAGACAGGCAGTCAGGCAACATAATACAGAGAGTGGAGCAAAGCGCATCAAATGATCGGTAATTAAAAGGGAAAAAAGAAAAAGAGAATAGATATTTTTATATTAGACACGCATCTGATGCTTGCATCTGTGTTTAATGGAAGAAACTCAGATTATGCCTAACGCTTTATTCACACATTGCATCAGCGTCAACGCTTCCCATTCACTTTAAATGCGTGATGCAGGCATTGCTTCAGTGGCGTTGCTTGCTGCAGAAGTTGGGACTTGCTCAACTTATCAAGCTCCAACTGAAGCGTCAGCCAATCAGATCGCTGTATGCAAATACACCAGCTCAGACAGTAGCTGATTGCTGACTAATTTCATTGGCTGACGCTGCTTTGATCACGTCAGCCCCAACTTTAGACATACCCTCTGTCAAGCGTTGACGCTGAAGCCCCGGGTGAATGGGGCATAACCCTGCCGATCACATATCTGATAACAGTCTTCTGTTTCTCCAGAAAGCCTAGCAGAGTCTTTTGGACTTGAGCCGTCGCCTCAGACAGCCCCTGCAGACGCGTCCACTCATCCAGCGTTCCCTCAGCCTCCTCCATCCACCTGTTCCTCTTCCTGCTCCATCACAGCTCCTGCTCAGGATGCTCAGACTCCTCCCACAACACAGCAAGCCCCGCCCCCTGCTGTCAGCAGCTCGTCACAGACCTCCTCCTTCCCCAGTGCTCCGCCCAGCTCGTCACAGCCTGCAGAAGTATCGTCTCCATCTGCACCCTCAGCCACTCAGCACTACATGATGGCTCAGCCGGTGTCGTCTCCATCTGCAGCCAGTGTCTCCAGTGTGCCGGCTGGGACAGCAGAGGTGACGGCCGCAGTGACGCACACAGTGCCTTTGGCTGCTCCTCCTACAATCAGCATCGCCCCCACACTCGGCCTGCAGCCCAGCCTTGTCATGTCAGACCAGAACCTGCAGTGGATCCTCAGCAGCGCCGCCAGCGCACAGCAAAACCCCGAACAACAGGTCTGAAGGCTAATCCTCACTTTAGCTTTACAGTTAAAAATGCCATTTTGCTGTCAATTACAGTACAAACAAGGTTTTAGCCACCTAAAACAGGGGTGTCAAACTCAGTTCCTGGAGGACAGCTTAGTTCCAAACCTGCTCCAACACACTCACCTGTAGGTTTCAAACAAACCTGAAGGACTCGATTAGTTTAATCAGGTGTGTTTAATTAGGGTTGGATATAAACTGCGCAGAGCTGCGGCCCTCCAGGAACTGAGTTTGACACCTGTGCCTTAAAGCAGTGTTTCTCAACCATGTTCCTGGAGGACCACCAGCACTGGATCTCTTCTTTATCTGTCACACCTATTACAGGTGTTTTTAGTCTCTGCTAATAAGCTGATAATCTGAATCAGGTGTGTTTGGTTGAGGAGACAGTGCAGTGCAGTGCCGGTGGTCCTCCAGGAACGTGGTTGAGAAACACTGCCTTAAAGGGAACATAAAATTGGAAATTACTTGCTGTCGGCAATTATTTGCCGTAGTCTCGTTTCACACTTTGTATGTTAAAAATAAATTTTTAAAACACAATTTAAGATATTTTGATAAAAGTAAATATATTTGTTTACTAACATGTAAGATATTTTCAAATTAATATGTTTATGTGTCAAATGAAAAAGTTTAAATGAACTGTTTGGAATGTTTACGTGATGATAGAACTATATACCTTATTTTTTCATGAACAGCTACAGTCATGCTCTGTTTCAGAATTAACGTTATTTTATAGCTTGCTTTGTTCATTAATTATGTAAATCTTGACCGAGATATGTGGCTTTGTTTGAGTATTTTAGGCATTGTATTAATTATCTAGATTGAGGTTCAGTTAATGTCACAGTTATATTTATTCTTCTCAGTTTTTGGCTTATTTTGTTGTCAATTTATTGGACACCCTTTTGATCACTGCTTTGTTTTCAGGGTCCAAAAGTTGAGAAGGTCTTTTTTACAACAGCCATACCAGTCGGTGGAAATTCAGGTATGATTGGATATTAGCTGTCATATATATATATATATATATTTATATATTTATACACACACAGTTGAAGTCAGAATTATTTGCCCCCTTTTGATTTTTATTTTTTTTCCCAAATGATGTTTAACAGAGCAATGACATTTTTACAGTATGTCTGATAATATTTTTTCTTATGGAGAAAGTCTTGTTTGTTTTATTTCGGCTAGAATAAAAGCAGTTATCAATTTTTTAAAAAACATTTTTGGGACAAAATGATTAACCCCTTTAAGCTAATTTTTTTTTCCGATAGTCTACAGCAGTGGTTCCCATAAAAATGCTCCACTATTATAAAGGGCTTTGCAATTAATCGAAAATCCAATTTAGATTTCGGTTTCAAACGATTATAAAAAAAGCATTAATCAAGATAAATAATTATTGCATCATATTTTGCCACGTTCCAGTTGTACACGTGTTAGTGTTGCTCTTAAAAGCGCGAAAGAGCTTATGTGTGTGTGTGCAGCATGATCACGCAGTCAGAAGCACGCGGCCGGTCAGCATTCACTCTCATTCACACACTGAGACGAGCAGAGGAGCGCAGATATCTAAAGTCATTAACGTGAGCGCTTTAATGGTCAAATAGGTGTCAAAACGCGGTGTTTAGTGATTATTTACATTAACCCTCATTTGTGTAATAAACAAACGAGTTGAGGATCAAAAGACGTGAAAGAGAAACCATTAAAGATACAGCGCGCTTTAATCCTTCTGTCACCTGTTTTTATCATTATTAAACAAACATAACGAGAAAACCCTCGCTGCTCTTGACTGAAGGACTGCTGTAGCTAAAGTGTTTTTCTTACAGTGAAGATGCTTAAAGCACAGTTTGTTTCATATTTTTATTCTATTGTATTTGTTTCTCTTTCGTTTGCAGGGTGGAAAATAACTGTATACAGTTGAAGTCAGAATTATTAGCCCTCTTGAATATTAGCAAAGCTTTTCCTGCCCAATTTCTGTTTCAGGGAAAGAATATTATATTAACTTATTTCTGAACATAATAGTTTTGATATCTCATTTCTAATTACTGATTTCTTTTTGTCTTTGCTATAATGACAGCACATAATGTTTTACTAGATATTTTTCAAAATGCAAGCATTCAGATTAAAGTGCAGTTCAAAGGCTTAATTAGAGTAATAAGGCAAGTCATTATAACGGTAGTTTATTCTGCAGACAATCAAAAATATATATTGCTTAAGGGGGCTAATAATATTGACCTTAAATTGGTTTCAAAATAGTTAAACCTTTCTTAATTCTAGCTAAAATAAAACAAACAGAAGAAAAAATATTAAAGGAAATACTGTTAAAATTCCTTGCTCTGTTAAAAATAATTTGGGAAATATTTATTAAAAAAAAAATTCTCAGGAGCGCTAATAATTTTGACTTTAACTGGCAATGGTTTTGAATAATCGTGATTACAATTATGACCAAAATAATCGTGATTATGATTTTTCCCAAAATCGAGCAGCCCTACTATTATATATGTATTTTTAAGTACCAAAAAAAAAAATTCTAAACACATACTTAAAATTCCAACATAATAGTGAAAATAATTAAAATAAATAACTTTAAATAATTATTTAAATTTTGCTCACTCACGCAATCTGCTTGTCAACGTGTCGTAAAGGCAAAATCAAAACAAAAATGGCAGACAAACGTAAATGCAGTGATTCTTCAGAGGCGAAGAAAAAGATTAGACAGTATGACAAAGCCTACCTAAATTTTGGTTTTATTGAAGGCCAAGACAAGTTAAAACTGATTAATTAATATTTTCTATATATATTACTATTAATATTACACACAGACACACACACACACATATATATATATATATATATATACACACACACACACACACACACACACACACAGTACATATGTGTGTGTGTGTATTTATATGGTGGGGGGGCTCCAATGTTTGTATATGTTCATGGGGGGGGCCCCAAAGAAAAAGGTTGGGAACCACTGGTCTACAGAACAAACCATCATTATACAATAACTTGCCTAATTACTCTAACCTGCCTAGTTACCCTAATTAACCTAGTTAAGCCTTTAAATGTCACTTTAAGCTTTATAGAAGTGTCTTGAAAAATATCTTGTCAAATGTGAGGGAGGGGGTGGGTGTAGCGGATGAAAGTGAGGACCAGGGGGGTTCGCTCACTATTCTGCTGCCCAAGGTGGCCGCCTAGGTCGCCTCTATGCGCGCACCGTCCCTAAACACACGTTGGCCACAACAGCAAATAAAAAAAAAACTGCAACTGCGTTATTTGCGTAGTTTTTTTTTTTACATGTTAAATATTTTAAATTAATCATGTGCGTTAACACGCTAATTTTACAGCCCTAAAATAAAACACTTTTTATACAGAGTTATTAACGGATAATTTCTGTGGTTTTATATTATGAATGGTGGGCATCTCGATGTACCATGCCAACAGTTGGTCGGTGAGTAAAGAAATATAATGAATGAAGTGCGTATAGACATATAATGTAATGCTGTACAGTAGCCTGTAATTTGCTTGTTTCGGTCGTCTCCATTGGAATCGTTTTGTGATGATGCGATGATGTGCTTACCTGTTTGATTGTGAGGCGTTCTGGGGGCGGGGTTTGTGTGCCAAACTGCAAGTTATTGGCCTGACAGTGGAAATGCGACATGATTTCGGCCTCTTTGCTCAACCTCCCGGGCGATTGGCCTGGCTCGCACTGGTCCAACCGTGGAAATGCGGCTAGTGTGTCCCAAATGTGTAATGAACCAAGCTCATCTGTGCCCTTACCAGTGCCAAAATAGTTTCACCTATTGATGAACTACCTCCGAAGCTAGGGTCATCAACATTCATTTAAAAAATCCTCAGCATTTAGCCTTGCAAAAGTCACGCTGTGGATCGAATGATAGGCCTTCAACAGAGCATGATGCAGATCTGACCAGTGTTTGTGTTTCAGGGAATGCAGTGCAGCAGATCGGCCTGAGTCTGCCGGTGATCATCATAAAGCAGGAGGAGTCCTGCCAGTGTCACTGTGCCTGCAGAGACTCGGCTAAAGACAAGAGCACTTCCTCATCACAGGACAAGACCAAGAACACTTCACCTCCACCACCTCCTGCTCCTCCTCCTCCTCCTCCAGCCCTCCCCAAAGAGCCTCCCTCCTGCTGCCCATCCAAACCTCACACACAGCCCCAGCAGGATCTCCCAACCGCTCCGCTCACCCCTAACCCGCCCACTGACGCTCTGGGCAGCATGGATGTTTCAGATCTGCTCAGTCCGGAAACCACCGCCAACATAGAGGCGCTGCTCATGGTGGCGGATGGCTTCTCCATGGCTGACGGAGGTGGTAGTGGCGCCCCCTAGAGGTCTGTTCACCTGTACTATGTACAGATGAGTAGCTCACACACACACCTGTACCTCTGCGGCGTGACCTCCAGAGGCTTATAGAGTGGATTTGGTGCACTTTTAAGGGAGGGTAGCAGTTTATGACAGCAGGCTAAGTCGTGTAGTTGCATTCAACATCACTGTTTTGTTTTGTTTTTCTCGACAGAACAAAAATTGCTTCTAGAGATTCACCATAGAAAGTCATTCAGTGCTTGAGTTTAAACTTGAATCCACTCGATTGGTCAGAATGTACTAGTTCACTGCTTTATCCCAGACTTCAGAAGTTACACCGTTCTTGGGGCTAATGAAGTCATCTACGCAGAAAGTCCTGCACATTGGAACAGTTGAAGTATTTTATGTGTAACTTATTAGAGAGGTGGTCATAATAATAATAATGTGATTTGGAGGTTTTTTTTTTTTTTTTGAGTTTGTCACTCTGGATGAACTGCGATGAGCATTTACCTGCCTTTTAAGTGTAATTTAGAGCTCTATTCGGCTGCCTATAACTTAGTATTTAATTTTATATATGTTAATTTATTAAAATCGTTGGATACGTTGCGTTCTTTCACACCTAAATTATTCTTCTCTAGATCTTTAAGTGCATCTCACAAAACCTGCAACATATTTCCATCATAAATGACAATATGAAATGTTTTTGCTTAAAGAAACTGTTAGTGACCAGTTCATTCTCATTAGTGCTGTTTAGCGATTAAACGCATACAAAACAACCTGTATATTTACTGTGTATATAGAAATACACACATCCATGTATATACATGTATATACGGTTTATTTATTTGAACTATATATATATATATATATATATATATATATATATATATATATATATATATATATATATATATATATATATATATATATAATATTTATATATCAAATGTATGAATATTAATATATATGTAAACGTCGATTATTTACATTTGTATTTATATATACACATGATGAATGTACACAGTACATGCACATATATTATGTAAATGCAACTTTTATTTTGTATGCGATTTGTCACTATCAGTCATTAAATAGCACTAATTCTCGTCATAAAAATAAAGAAACTAAACACTTTATAATATGGTCCATGAGTCAATCTTAGTTAATGTACTTACTAACATCAATAAACAATAGATTACAGTATTTATTCATATTAGTTAATGAAAATTAAGTCATTTTTGTTCTTGCTTCTTAGTTCATGCCAGTAAATGCATCAACTAACGTTAAAGGAACTCTTCACTTGTTTTGGAAATTATATAATTTGTCATAATAGCTCATTTTATGTCTCAGATAGAGTTGAACTGTTCCCTTTTACCTTTTTTGAATCCATTCAGCCAATCTCAGGGTCTGGCGGAAGCACTGTTAGCTTAGCTTAGCATAGATCATTGAATCGGATTAGACCGTTAGCATCTCACTTCAAGATGAGCAAAAAGTTTTGATAGTTTTTCTTTTTAAAGCTTGACTTTTCTGTAGTTGCATAGTATACGAAGACTGAAGGAAAATGAAAATAATAAAGAAGCTTTGCTGCCATACCTTGATTTGGCAGTGAAGTTATTAATTATTACAACCAGAATGAAAGTATAGTTAGCCATATTGGCCTAGAAAACAGCAACATTCCATTTTCTGTCTGTTGTACTTGATGTACCTACAGAAGAGTCAAGCTTTAAAAAGGAAAATTGCACATTTTGGTCATTTTTGAGTGAGATGCTAATAGTCTAATTCAATTCATTGGTTTATGCTAAGCTAAGCAAAATGTGCCAGACCCAGAGATCAACTGAATAGATTTTGTAAGTTGATTCGGCAGCAAAGTTTTTAATTATTACGCCAGAATGAAAGTACAGTTAGCCAAATAATTCTACAAATGAGTCACAGCTGATCTCCAGGTGTGGCTCTTTTAGCTTAGCTTAGCATAGATCATTAAATCAGATTAGACCATTAACATCTCACTCAAAGATGAGCAAACCCCTGGGATAATTTTCCTTTTTAAAGCTTGACTCTTCTGTAGTTGCATTGCATAGGAAGACTGAAAATGAAAGTTATCAAGGAACTTTGCTGCTATAGCTTAATTCAGCCGCAAAGTTCTTAATTATTACGCCAGAGTGAAAGTACAGTTCGCCATATTAGCCAAGAAAATAGCAACTTTCCATTCTCCATCAGTTTTGGTACACAATGTACCTACAAATGAATCACAGCTGATCTCTGGGTTTGGTGCTTTTAGCTTAGCTTAGCATAGATCATTGAATCGGATTAGATCATTAGCATCTCACTCAAAGATAAGCAAAGAGTTTGGAAGATTTTTGTTTTAAAGCTTGACCTCTTATACAAAGACTGATGGAAAATGAAAGTATTGAAGGAGCTTTGCTGCCATACCTTGATTCGGCAGTGAAATTCAAAATTATTATGCCAGAATGAGTATAGTTAGCCATATCGGCCTAGAAAATATCATCTATACATTTTCCACCTACAAAAAAGTTGAGCTTTTAAAAAAGAAAATTGTCAATTTTGGTAATTTTTGAGTGAGATGCTAACGGTCTAATCCGATTTAATGGTTTATGCTAAGCTAAAAGTGCCAGACACAGAGATCAACTGAATGGATTTCTCAGTTGATTCGGCAGTGAAGTTTTTAATTACTACGCCAGTTAAAGTATAGTTAGCCATATATTAGCCTAGAAAATAGAAACTTTCTATTCTCCATCAGTCTTAGTACACAATGTACCTACAAAAGAGTCACAGCTGATTTTTTTGGTCTGGCACTTTTAGCTTAGCTCAGCATAGATCATTGAGTCGGATTAGACCAATAGCATCTCACTCAAAGATGAGCAAAGAGTAATAATCTTATATCTTATTTTTTAAAGCTGGACTCTTCTGTAGTTCCATTGTGTACGAAGACTGAAAATGAAAGTAATTAAGGAACTTTGCTGCTATAGCTTGAGTTCTTAATTATTACTCCAGAATTAAAGTATAGTTAGCCATATTAGCTGAGAAAGTAGCAACTTTTCATTTTCCATCACTCTTAATACACAATGTAACAACAGAAGAGTCAAGCTTTAAAAAGGAAAATTGTCAAAGTTTTGGTCATTTTGCTAATGGTCTAATCCGATTCAATTATCTATGCTAAGCTAAGCTAAAAGTGCGA